TGCTCAAGCGATGTTCTCTCATCTCCAAAGTTTTATTTGGATCGCGTTCAACATTTTGTGTGGTGGTAACACAGATCTCCATATGGGCTCAAAAATGTTCACTCTTTCTTCCGTGTTGATGAAAATGTGAAGGATTTTCTGACGTTGTTTATCATACAAACGTTGACCGCGATTACGACTTGACTGCGTTATTACACACCTAAAAGCTTTCTTGTGCGCTTTTATCAGAAAAAGCACCCGAGCAATTTTTCTCTTGAACAGCTGTATTGCTTTTAACGGGACTTTTTCATGTCTCATAAAATATCTCCCTCATATATGCAAGTGCTGGCTCTGTTCATTTTCTTCTGCACCAAATTATGTGCCGCATCCTCCGCTGCTACATCGTGCTGCATATACTCAGTCACCACGAATATTAGTTATGGGTTAGCTGTGTGTCAAAGCTGCATGCTAAGGTTTTTTATTTTTAAGTTAGTTTTCCTCACATCTCCACTTCAACTCCACATTTGGGTGATGAGTCCGTTAACACTCAGTCCACCTTGATCCACATCTATTGCATTTACAGTCTTCGCTGATACAACACTCGTACAAATGCTCCGATAGTTCATTCTCCCCGCTAAGTGAATATGTTGAACGCGTTCCCAGTTCAACCCTCAACTTTTCTCTTCCTCCCCAGTGTCCTGTGCCAAACCAGGGTATCAGCCCCTGCTCCACACTGACCAGCAGCACCGCGTCACCGTGCACCGACAGCCCGTGTTCCACACTCAACAGCACGGCCAGCCGGCCCCCGCTCAGCCGCGCCAGCCCGTGCGGGACCATCACCAGCCCGAGCTCCACGCTGGAGAGTAAGGACAGCGGAATCATAGGTAAGAGAAGCTCCTTTTGATTCATCGTGGGGCTGTACGGTATTTGACTCTGAGAGACAGAAAATGCACAAAACTACGTCAGAAGACAGACTTGGGGAAAAAACATTTTGAGCAGTAAACAATGACAAAAATGTCTTCCCGGTCGAAATAATCATGTCAGTCAGTTGGTTGCCCTTTCACTCTTTTTTTGCAGCGCATTGCATCCGCACAGATGCTAATTGTGTTTATCAGTCTGCTTTCTGTTTCCTCTGTTGATGTTTCATCGATTTTGAAACTCCGTGTCGAATATTAAGGTGGAGGAATCACTTGCAAACTTTAGGACCACGTGACTGGGATGCCCGCTGCCCACCTCACGAAGCTCGGCGGACAAAGCGGATGATGGTCCGGCAGAGCAAACAAATAGAGCCCAAAGCTGTACGACATAACACAACAGTTTGGATTTTCAATACTGCAGCGTCTACAGTCTTCAAAGAGCACAATTAGCATGAGTCTGTCATCCCGTCTCCCCTGAGCAATTCATAGCAAGGCTGATAAATAATTTATGGGGGCTGCCATATAATGCACACCAGTCCTGGCAACTGGCCAGGAGGAGACATGCTGTCGGCTAACATTTATAGTTTGTGTGCATGGAGCATCTTCAGTTTTCGTGAAATCACCTGGGTGGATTTTTAGGACATTTCTGAACAACGTAACGAGAGCGGAACATGGGAAAACAAAACAACATTTCCACTCGTCAGATTCTTGCGATTCCCGCTTCTTAGCCTTTTGATACTGAACTCAGGCTCCCGAGTTTCAAATGCACATGAATCCGACTTTACTATGTTAAAGCTCCTTGTTGGAATTACAGAGACTTTGAAATATAACCGTCATTCTGGTCCTTTTCCCGTTTCGTCAACTGAAGTCGGACATTTACCACTGATCCGCAAGCATCTGAACATGATGAAACGATTGATCTGGTTTTGCATGACACACGTTGTCACGACCTCTTTGTATTGTTGTCGACATGACCAGTTGCCTATCATCGCGTTAACTACAGTCCATGACTCAGAAGTTGGAATCGGAAAGGTGGGCTGGCCTTTGGAGATGAAAGGATTTCTTCTCATGATCCGTCTGGACTCAACAGAACAATGTGACATAAGCTATGGGAAGTTGTACTACTTCCACAGTGACATCCACAATAGCATTTACTATAGGCGGTGCTATTTTGCTCAGTGAAATGTTACCGGTTTGTTGTTGTATATTTTGGAATGTGGAATCAAAGTACAAGAGCGGGGGTCAACTGCAGCTGATGAGGCGGCGGGGAGGGGGTGATATGGCGGCGGCTTTCCAAACCCAGCAATGTAGCCGCCGTCCACATCGGAAAATGACCATTTGTTTTCGTTTTGGAAATGAATTTTTGACCGTGTTAACATAAAATCAACACATGTACACACATTCTTCTCTCCGTCTACCTGATCCTAGCCACCATCACCAGTTCCTCGGAGAATGACGACCGTAGCGGCTCCAGCCTGGAGTGGAGCAAGGATGGCAGCCTGAGAGGCAGCGCTCGCCATGGCTTGGCGCAGACGATGCGGGCTGACACCTGCTCTCCCGTGGAGGAGGAAGATTGCAGCGGCGCTCCGGCCTCGCCGGCCGACAACGCGGCCAGGACGGAGCAGCAGCACGGCGGCCTGTCAGCGGCGGCCGCAGTCGGACCTCCGCAACCTTTGTGCCATGCGTCTGAGGGACCAAATCAATACACTCAACAAACATCCTCTCTTCTGATGATGCCCAGGCCCAACTCTGTAGCAGGTAAATCTTTCGCGACTGCATTTCCTCCAGTTGGCCCCAGTGCCGCCGCCGCATGTTGCTGCACAATGCCGAAGGTGCACAATTCTAAATCCAAACCAATCCATATCGATTGATGAGGTGGCTTACTGCATAATAGACGTGCCCAAAATGGATCCATGCTGCTTGGTTAAAACAATCCGGACAACATGAGACCCAGTAGCCTCATAACCTTGCTCATGTTGGCACTGAAGCCGCACTTGTCTCACGGGTGCGTTCAAGTATAGCTGCGATATGACAAGCGGCTGGAACGGAAGTATGTCGGAACTTCTTATGTCAGCAAACGCGACGGGACAGAAAAAGCAGACGCGCAGATGTTAAGTCCATGAGGAGGCTCCGGTATCGGCCGGTGGCGCGGTATCAGGAATATACATCTGTTGTGTGAATTGCAAGCCACTGTGTGACTGAGCTGTTCTGCATTCCTGCCTCGGAACATCCGTTTTATGGCCGAGCGCTCCACATCGACACGGCTGTGACGGTTGGTATTCCTTGCTAGCCCACTTGCCCCTCGCTTTCACCCTTCTTCGGTCACCAGTAGGGTTGGGCGACGTTTCAATTTGGGCGATTCTGAGTCCGGTTCCTAACGATTCTCTGTTCTGATTATTTGTATTTATTTATTGTTTTAATGAGCTTGAATTATCCACAAGAGCTGTATTAGGGAGAACCTCAGGAAAATACACCACCACAGTTTATAGCGTGCTACTTAAAGCCTATTAACGGGCTAACCAAGCGTGCAAATCAAAAGAAGTACTCGTCCAAAGGAACAGCTGGTCCAGTTGAACTCAGCAACAGGTTTTGCGAAGACAAAGGATCCTATTTGCCTTTTCAGGCAGCATGTGTGAACATTCTGGACAGATAGTGTCTCCTGCAGTCGAGAACATACGCTCACTTGGTGTGGATGATGCGTGAACACATAAATAAGACAAAGCCGGATCTGACAGTAAAAGGGGTCTGTTGTTAGTTGATTCCGCCACCACGCAGCCGGGTCCTCGGACATAACGGCGCGACTTCAGCCATCACACGTGAGAGCAACACAGCAGACGTCATTGAGTTCTGTAATTATATTAGATTTCTCAATTGCATACCAGGATGGTCGTAATTTATTGGCCAATTAATCCCTGGTCGGGGGTGTGTACTTGGGGGATTAGGCTTCTCACCACGGCCCCGCAAACATAAAACATGATGTCACCATTACATTATCTGGTATTCGATAAGTTCTCTCATTATTGCATTAGTGACGTCATTGCTAATGATTCCACACAAGGAAAAGTATATCGAAACGAGTCTAAAAAGGCATGCAGTATGTATATACAGTGTACGCTATCAGCTGAATATTAGCTCGGCATTTGCTTTTGAGCTTTACCCACTGTTGTTAGCTCAATGTGGGGATAAAACATTTTATTGGTTGACTTACCAGATTGTGACTGCGGTGCAGTCAGTGTCGTGAAGGTATCACCGGGTTGAAAGAGGGTGGGGGGGGGGGACTCGGAGCCGGTGTCGGAGGCAGCACAGGAAGTTTCACGCAGAGAGTCAAAGACGGAACACTACTCTGGGATGGAGGTGTTTGATCCTATTTGACGTACAACCTCTTTTGCACGATATTAATCTTTTCACATCTGTTGCACGGAAAAGATTGGTCTTTTTTTTTTAATGAAGTGGAGCCACACTTTTGACCTGCGTCGAACGTCCATCACGGTCACTAATCGCGAGCATATATCAAGAGTCCTGGCTTCTTCGCTGCTGTCTGGCACAGTGCGTCGTTGCCGGCGCAACACACGTGCACTACGGGTCCTTTGCATGTTTTGAGCGGCGCGCCCCACACGGCGAACTCGGAATGGAAATGTAGCACCGACATTTGAAAATCCGAACGATTCCGGGAGAGCCGAAGCGCTTGTCCGGGTTCCACCAGTGGTCTCTCCTGCCGCTTCCCTCCATTTCTTGTTGTTAACTGCGTTTGGCCTTGGGGATTTATGTGCTTTTCCAACGCATTTTTAAAAAGCCCCAACTCGCGTATGAATGTCTGGAGCCTGTAGAGATCAAGTCATCACAGGCGGTAGTGGCTTAGCTTAGCGTCAAAAGAATGGGGAGTCCGGCATTGGCCACCCTCCGAGAAGTTATTATTCCGTGTTGAAAATCGCATAATTGTTTGATTCTGAAAGAAAGTGACATTTTCTGGGACCCCTGTTCCAGAAAATATCACACCGGCCATCTTAATCCACACGAGGAACTGTCTGCAAATGCTAATATGATAGCAAACCGCCTGAGGCACCAGTGAAAAGTTAAGACAACAAAAAATAAAAATAACACTGTTCCTGGTAACATTGCAGCAGAGCTTTTATTCTGCGTACCATTTGGGCACACTTTTTTTTTCCCCTCCAGTATAATTTGTTCCCCGTACCATTCCAAGCTGGGCCCATGTTGCAATTATAAGGTCGTCCTTGACCTACTTTTTTTTGTGGTCTCCAGAGTCCTGAACCTTTTTGCATGTCTTCTTGACATTAATAAGAATGCTGCGGACACATACAAGCTCGTAAAGTGAGCAGGCCAGGAACATGTGTGTGGGCGGGGTCTGGGGGGTGGAAATTGCGTCTCTTTGTGTGTGTGTGTGGGTGTGTGTGTGTGTGTGTGCGTTGAAAGTTTATGAGCTGATGTCATAGTTATGCAGCATTGCCCTCTGGGGTACCTTCACAATTCACACCTCAAATTTTACGCCGTGCGACAAAGCCCTTTGGGAGGAAATCAAGGACATGGGAAGACGGCTTCATTTCTACACCATGACTATGGGTCGCATTAAGTTTCCGTTGGGAAAAATTTGTAATTATTGTCGGAGATGTTCTTAACGTCAACATGCACGGAATCTCCGCCGACTCGTTCGGCAAAGCTGAAGCTGTGTGGGGTTTTTTTCCTAGTTTTTGGTGTGTTCAAATTTCTTTGTGTTTGTGTTTAAAAAGTCTGTTTAAGTGTGGTGTAAGTGTCCGGGAGACGAAAAACACGTTTCATCTCTGGTAACCTTCTGTGGAAATAAATACTTGAGTTCAGCTATAAAATGCATACTGAGCTCACGCCATCATGGATGACGAGCACAAGTTTAACTTTGGAAGCCGACCGTTTCCATAAAATTGCTTGTTCTTGAGAGTTAAAAAAAAAAAGTATTTTTGTAGTTGTGCCGACAGTTTTATGGAATTTTATCATCGTTGATCGCGCTGAGCGTGATGAAACACTTTAATTTCCGCTAGATAAGTGCCAGCACCTGTGGTCTTGGTTCTCAATTCTCATATCGCACCTTCTGCCTGGCAGCACCTGTTCGTTCGATTAGATTATCCGTCTGAGAAGAGCAATCTCGGGTTTGTGTGTTGTGGAAAAAAATTACTTGTTACAATTGAGAAGACCTGCAATAAATACTTGAAGCCAACTTGGGAAGTTGATTATGTTTGCAAAGAGGTCTGGCAATTCGACATGGAGGCCTGCAGCATCTGGAAGATCGGGCCAATTCGAAAATTGAGGGTTTCACACCTCCACTTTCCATGATCGGACAATCTTGAGTTGCTCTTGAATATTCAAATTGGTCCAAAGCGTTGCGACTCACGATTGAAGGTACAGGAACAGACTGAACCAGGACTTATTATTAAAAAAAAAATAAAAATCTGTACACAAGGTGCCTTGGATCACTCAAATGTAGCCATGGCAGTCCTGCTGCGTCTGTAGAACGGAACAAACTCAAAGTCCCAAATATTCCTGACGCCTTCTGAGCAGTTTTGCGAAAGCCATTTATCTGGTATTGATTGCCGAAGGAAACTTCACTCGCGTGTGGGTGCGAAATGTGCATGCACCAAATCTGGCACGCAGAAGATTATAATTTGCATTATTAATCAGCAACATATGGGCTGTTTTGTTTATAGCTGGTCACACAGGTGCTTCTCATTTTCAGTGCTTGCTGAAGTCCAATCAATACTGGTCAGTCTAAAAAAGAAAATAAAATCAAATAAAATTCGCTGTCTGTTTTTACATTGCTGATCGAGTTTCCTGTCCAAGATTCTCTCCTGACCATTCTCTTAATTATACTGTAGGTACTTTGAATTACATATTTGACTGAAGCCTTTTTTTAAAGGGATTATAGAGACAAGGACATTGGTTTGGTTTTGGGTTTTTTTTTTGCCACTGGAATCCCATATTGAAGTATTTGCACTTGAAGTACCGTATTTTCCGCACTAAAAGGCGCACCTAAAAGCCTTCCATTTTCTTAAAAGCTCAGAGTGGGCCTTAAAATCCGATGCGCCTTGTGTATGGGCTGCTTTATTCAAAACATTTTACTGACATCTGATCGTTCTGTTAGTGTTTCCTTGCGCGTATCTCCATCTAGTGGATGCATTGTAGATTGCGTCTTATAATGCGGTGCATCCAATATATGAAAAAAAATTACAAAATAGGGCATTCATTGAAGGTGCGCCTCATAATCCAGTGCACCTTTTAGTGTGGAAAATACGGTATATGGAGTATAAGGGGTCAGAGTAGCTGTGGAAACGTGTTCCAGTTCATCCGTGGAGTTCAGCGTTTCATCACAGCTTTGTGGTCTTGCCCAGGATGAGGTAGAGCTCATTCCGTTTTTGCTTTTATTTCCTTTCCAAGGTCTACTCTTTTCTCTCTTGTATATGTCAAGCTACAATCTTTTTTTTTTTTTCCAGGCTGCATCATCTCTTTGCCTGCTCATCATTGACAAGCAAGGCCATGAATACTTTATAAGCGTTTAGATGCGGGACATCTGTAGTAACGTTTGATTACCCAGCTCACATATGTCTTTTATTAGGACTGATAATGTGACGTATTTAAAGACGTTGCGCCGTAATCGACCCGAGCTGCCGAAGTATGACTCAAGTATTTTAATTTGGCTTTGACCGCGAACGTTGTCATTTCAAACGGTGTCTGTCACCTTGTTTAAAGACGGAGGCCTTTATCGTCGGTGTGTTGTGATGGATTGCCGTTGTCATGGACTTCATGGATTGACTGAGACAAGAAAAAGACAGCCGGCACAAAATAAAACTCGCGGCTCTTCCAAAAAAGGTCACAGTGACACATCTGATGAAATGTCCTTTCTCCAAGAATTCTTTGTGTCTGGATGACGCTGCAGCCGGGCTCTTCAAGGGCCGCTTTGTCGACCAACAACTGTCACAGTAGAGCCCAGTTAAGTCCGATTGACGGCACCCGGTGGTTTAATAACTGGCGAGGATCTACAACACGCACAAAACATTGCTGACGTTTTATTGATCCAGTGGTGGGGAAAATGTGTTCTTTAAACCCGCAAAATGTAAAAGGCAATTAGAGGGGGAAAATAAAGCAAAGGAAAAGAAATTTCATCTTTGTGTTGACTTACACAAGCTGTACTCGACTATAACTACCGAACAGCCGCCCCGTACTGCATGAAAACAGATTTTTCCGGAGTATTTGGATTGAAGGGCGGCACGGTGAATGAGTGGTTCGACCCTCCCCCTCAAGTTCTGAGGTTAGAAGTTCAAAGGCGGGCTCCCAAAAAACAAAACAAAACATGCGTTTTAGGTTAAGTGAAGGATCGATTTTGCTTTTACGATAACATGACCTGCATCCCACCAACAACCTGTAGGGGGGGTGGGGGCTATACTTGAGCCTGCTTTGGCTAAAATCACACCACACAACAATTAGAGGAGCATTACTACAAACTCGCATCTGTTGACACAAAAATACAGCGGAGCCTTCAAGCTCAAAATGGATTCAAAATCACCGGTGACCCTAGCGAGAATAAGGGAGATTGGTTGAACTCAAAATCGCACGAGCGCTGCATTGAAGAGAGATGCAGTAATTATTCACCAGCAGTCATTGCCCGGGGCTGGATATTAATTTTAATCAACTTTGTGGCTTCCTTGAATCCCATCACAATACTGCTCTATAGTTAAAAAAATATTTAGTTCTGAGTTCTTGCTTTGCACCCTTAACTTGTGTGTCCTTCTAATTGTACCACACGCTCTTCTTTCATAAGCCTCGCTCTAAACCCTTGCCCGATCGGCTCCTGCCAGGACCATTGATTGATTCTCCACTTTCAAACTGAAATCAAACACTGGAAACCAGAGTTCTCGTTTTATTTATTTATATCCCCCCCTATCAGCGCACCCCGCAAATCATCCCCTGCCGCAGCCTTCCCGCATTGCCTGTGGAGCAGTGTACCTAAGTGCAATACATGCATGCCGGCGGTGAGGCCTGGCATGGTGACACTCTTCTGCAACGGCGTCGCGTTCATTTAGCGGCCGCGAGTGAGAGAGCGAGGGCAGCCGAGCCTTCCACTCAGCAGCTGAATGCTGTCAGTGTGCCTTCATCCGGGGGGGGGCACTGGGGCATAGCAATTGCTTTTGTGGCCTCGGTGAGCTCATCCACTGGGAGCCCTCTCCAGAGACTTAGCTAAGGAGCTGCACGCCACTTGCGTACGGGCCTACTTGATGAGAAAAAAAAATGGGAGGTTTTCCTCAAGGTTGCACCACTCCTGCTTCGGATGTAAGTCGCAATTCGCTCTCACTTTCATTTGTTCAAATGGTATGACTGGGAGCGGCTGTACATGATGAGACAAAAGCGGGAAAATTTAACACAGTGGGCTTTGTCTTCTTTTGTTTTTTTGTTGAGTTTTTTTTCTTCATTAAACTTGTATCGATGTCAACTTGCTCTCTTATTCTGTTGTCGGTGAGGAGAGTTGAGTGTATGTCATGGTCTCTCTCAACTGGCTCTGATAAAGTAGAGCCCCGGCTGGTTTGAATTCTGCTCTTCAACAGGACTGAGTATGTGTCGCCATGGCGATTGCCTTATCCAACAATGAGCAGCCAATAGGAGGCAGACCTTGGGATATTCATGTACATCGATGCACCGAGACAGACTTGCCATGTTGCTCACCTGCCGAGTTTAGTTCCGCAAACACGGACTTAATGTTTAATTTGGGAACGATCATGCTTACAATACCTTCCCAGAGTCTTACCCTGACAGTCTTTTTGAATGATGACTCAGTGTGACGTGTTTGGCATCGGACCGATTGTGGTTTGATTTACATATGGTGTGCGGTCTGTTCCGCGCAACGTGCTGAGGGAAGGGTATCGGGCTGTTTAGCAGTCATCTGCAACATTTCTGCGGCTCGCTCGACAAGATTTCCCTCCGCGCTCGTATAAGAGGCAAAGGTAATATAACCTCCGCTTGTGGGGAAAGAGAAGCTGAGAAATGAGAGGTCAGTGTTGAGACGAGGGTTTAAAGAGCTGTATTTTCTATTTTTTTTTTTTTTTTTCCACAGGAGAAGCTCACTGTACGCATCGGCCAAAAAGTTCTCCCTCGGCACTAACTCTCCATCCTTTGCAAATGGTACCCTGGCGCTAATCAAAATCGGAAAAGATATGCCGTGCTCTCTCACCAATGTCATCATCAGACCAGTTATGGATAAAGTTGTAATCTGACTGAATAATGTGTTGAAGGAACCTTGCGAGTGGACAGAAACCACCTTTTTAAGATATCTCCGTCATCATTAGCTGCGCACCAAACTTTGCCTGACAGTTCATATTGCTCGGCGCTAAGCTAACTTGTTCCGCACAAGCTGAAGCTAACACTCTGACTAGCTAACCCTCATTCTGAGTGTAATTCTAATTCTAAAAAAAAAAAACAGCCTATGAATGAGATAACAGATGTTCAGATTTTGACATCCAGCAATCCAAGAGAGGCTTATGTTGTGTAACATAAAAAAAATAAATAAAAAACTGAATCTGTACAAATGCTCACAGCTGACAGAATGATCCTCTACACAGAGCAGAGGACTCCGGCATTCCAAAACCAGATCCATAAACACGTGCACACAGGAAGAGAGTAATTAGAATCTCAACCATCCATTGTGCAGACAAAGGCCAGAGCAAATGGGCAGCTTCGGGCTAACTATTTTTGTGGCGTCTAAATGGATGCGTATTACATGGATATGATTGCAGGAAGGTTGTATGAGGTCAAGCGTGAAAACACGCTCATAATTAGACTAAACACTACGGTCGTGCTCACTACAGAGAAACATGGCGTTGGCCGTGTTCATATGATCTATTTATGTGTTGGCTTCCGTGTTTTGAGTTCAGCGAGGCCGTTTTATTTTTGCCGATTTATTTTTGAAACTGTTTTCCCGTTTTTCACTTTGCCCATCAGCTCCCTTGTACACACATTTTCAGGTATTTTCCAGAAATGCACACGTCAATCTCCAGAGCTCCTAATTTCGCTGAAATGAAAACGCATCAAGGCTCTAATTGCGAACCGTAAGTCCAAGATCGCCGTCCATCTGCTCCATCAACAGGCAAAACGTTCCCAGATGCGCCCTGTGAAAACAAAGCACAAATGAACAAAGTTCCAAGATCAAGAGAAATTACAGGCACGTCTACGATTGTCAGTTTGAGAAGTACAAAAAAAAAAAAGTCACCTCTCTCCGCTTGCCGAGGGCACTAAACTAGGAGCCGAGATCAGAGATTAGTTTCGTTTTGCTGTCGCTTTGTTCCTTCATTAAATTGCCTTGACATCTTTTTGTTTCTTCGCTTTCTGTCCTAAAGCTCCCCGTCGCCCAAGTCTCATCTAGGACAATTGAAGATCTTTTATCTTGATTCTGCGTGACATCGTCTGGAATAAGTTTGTAATTTTTGACTGTTGACATGGCGAACGTGTGATTTGCAGCCAGTTTAGCCGCCAGCATTTTGCATTCAAATTAAAACCACCGGGAATGGATGAAATGGAGAGTGTGTGCGGACACCGCTTAAAATATAGTCGGGTCCGTTGCCGTGCCAAGCGTTGCGTTTCTCGTTCTGTTCTCCGAATAAAAAAAATCGAGTTCGCAATCGCCCCCCTGCCTGCATTTGACTCTCATTCGCAAATCTCATTCCGCAGAATAGTCAAATGATAGAAGTGACACCAGCAGACACTTGAAAATGACATCAAATTCATTTTAATCGCCCCCTTTACGGAGAAGAAAGCTTCCACTTGTCGAGTCTGGTGTTGACAAAAAGAGTTTTCAGCTTTGACTTGCGGAATACCGTCATCTAGGTTCCTCTGCGTCGTAATTGTGTACGTTCATACTCTCGTAAGCAAGCCACCAAAGTGTCCATATCTCCACGGGGAGACAGCAAATGCGCTATATAACCCCATCCTGGATTGTTTATTGCTCTACTTTGTGCGTTACAGTTACGGTGTTTTCTTCACTGTCTTTTTTTTTTTTTTTTCTCCTTCCCCCTTCTTCTGTATCGATAGCAACCAGCTCCACAAAGCTGGAGGACCTGAGCTATCTCGATGAACAGCGCAATACGCCGCTGCGGACATCCATTCGCCTCCCCTGGCACAATACCGGCGGGAGGCCACCTCAGGACTCGAAAGGTGACTGCAATATGTGTTATTACTGTACGTCCAATCTGCGGCGACCCCCCCCCCCCCCCATCCTGGATTAGAACCCAATTTCAACTTGAAATCTCTCTGGGTAATGGAAAATGGAATGTTTTCACTGCCATGTCCCGTTTTGCTGACCCCTCCCCAGGTCGTTTCTCTCCCTATAAACCGGTGGACATCATGCTGAAGCCCCTGTTGTTCGAAGTGCCCAGCATCACCATGGATTCCGTGTTCGTGGGCCGAGATTGGCTCTTCCAGAAGCTGGAAGACGTCTTGAAGGACGACGAATCCGCCCAGAGCCACGGCGCCGTGATCGTGGGCAGCGTGGGCTACGGGAAGACGGCCATCATCTCCCGGCTGGTGGCGCTGAGCTGCCATGGCGGACGCATGCGACAGATTGCATCCAACAGTCCGGGCGCCTCCCCTAAAAGTAATAAATGACATATCAGCGGCCGCCGTAAAATTCTGCGATCCCGATTGCCAAAACAAAAACGGCAATTAAAAGGGCCGTTTGTCTCTTCGAAGGTGGTGCCGGGTCAAGCTCGGAACTTCCTCTCAGCCAGCCCCCGCAGCCCACTCCCCCCTCGAGTGCGGCGAATACATTGAGGACCAATAGCTGTCCGGGAACGCCTGAAATGCAGCGCCGCAGGGAGGAGGCTGTCAAACGGCTGGCTGCTAAGGTACATCTTGGCTAAAGTACTGAGAGGTGGGAGGGGGCGGGGGTCAGTGGGTTCACGGTACAAATAAGCGGGGGATGTTGTTTTTGGGATCATTTGTTAGAGCCGGAATAAGGTGCTGTTCCTCCAGAGGCAATAGTCAGCTGCTTTACTGTCGCGGTGCCTCGGACCCTTCATCCTTTATTGAAAAGCCACTGTCTGAAGCCCTCGCGTCAAGTTTAGCCACGGCAGCAGGGTTGAGTTGGGTTCAGCGTGATGCAGTTGGGATTCGGTAAACCTTGATCTGGTTTTAGGATTTGGGTGAAACTCTGATACGATGCTTTGCTCGTTTGGAATTAGTAGTGTATGACTACTCCAGAAGCCGGTCAAGGTTGCATGACTAATCAACGAGCGCCTGAGACGTATCCAGCAGAGGAACAGGTCACCACCCTCCCCTCCCCCCGCCTGCTGACCCTGAAAGTGTGTCAACTCCTCCAGGTTGCCGTATAATTAGGACAATGTTATCCCCCCCACCTCAGGCATCTCCCTTCCTTCTTTACCAGCTCTGCCTCTTTCCTTGGCCTGCTCAGAATTTTGGGGGGGGGGGGAGTTTATTTGAAGTGATTAAGCGCCTCTCCCGTTTCCCACTCAGGCTCCCTGTGGTAGTTGGGCAAATATTTCTCTCACATCAGATGGGTTTCAAAAGACTATTATATCTTCTGTGCTGAAAAGTTTTGCAATGGACTGTGGTAATAATGTTTCCAGCAAAGCCGTATTACACTGAACTAAAGTATAAAATTTTCAGGCCTCAGCCCGGATTGATTTCCAGTCCGTAGCGGGACATTAGCGAACGCGGGACAGATCAGGAATCAACCCCTTTCCTCTTACATCGCCATCATGTGGTGTTCCAGGTGGTGGCCTACCATTACTGCCAAGCAGACAACACATACACCTGTCTGGTCCCGGAGTTTGTGCACAGCATCGCCGCCCTGCTGTGCCGAGCACACCAGCTGAATTCATACCGGGAACTCTTGCTGAAAGAACCCCACCTCCAGAGCATGCTAAGTCTGCGCTCCTGCGTCCAGGACCCCACCGCCGCTTTCCGAAGGGGCGTCCTTGAGCCTCTGGCCAACCTTCGTAAAGGTAAACCCGTCGGCGTTTGAGGTTTTAAGATGTCGGGTTTGGCCTTTGTTCAAGTGACATGATTTATATAAAGCCGACTGCGCATCTCGCTCCCCTAAATCATGGCGATTATGCCTTTCCAGAACGGAAGATTCCAGAGGAGAATTTCATCATTTTGATCGACGGACTGAATGAAGCTGAATTCCACAAGCCTGACTACGGAGACACCATTGCCTCCTTCATTACAAAGATTATCACCAAGTTCCCTCCCTGGCTCAAACTGGTGGTCACCGTCCGTGTCAGCTTGCTGGTAAGGCGCATCTCATCGCTAATATCGGACGGCGCCGACTCTTTTGGTTTTGGGGCAGGATGAAGAAAAAGTGCAATATTGTATCACATATCACTGAAGCTGTGAGTCACTGGCGGCGCAACGGTTCACTCTCCTGGCATTTGCGCCGGCGTTTTCGCTCCAGTTTCCACTTAGCGATTGTGCGAACGTGGTGTGAATTGTTGTCTGCCACTCCAGGCTGTCGTCTGTCTTTTGCCCCTGAAGTCAGCAGCGGGATGGAGAAAATGTCGGAAACGGATGAAGCCGCGACATTCCCTCGTGTGTGGGATCGAGGTTATTCATATTCAGAAGATGGTCTCAGATTCTGTCCATCCAGTTCTTCTGCAAAACAAAAACACTCATTACCAATGGTGTTATTATTTCCATTTGTTTAATATTATTCAAGAACGTCTCTGCTCTCTGAATATAAAGTGTTGTGTTTTGTTTTTTTAGAAGATAAAGGTGTTAAAAAAAAAAATCACATAAAGCCTGACGTATACCTTCCGCATATATGTCAGATACTTTAAGGTAAACCCGAATGACAACATGTTTAGCCGGCCGTAAATTATGTCCTGCCAAAGGGACGATGAACTACGCCCGGGCAGCGACGGAGGCAGAGTTCCTCGAAGCCAATGTGGCTGGGCCAGCCGGGCAGGTGACATATTGAGAAAACAGAAGCGATAGCGTGATCAAGGATCACTTCAGCTTTCCCGTCAGTTTTATTTTAGAACCGGTGGAATTCTCAAGAAGCAATCTTGTCTTTTTTTTTTCTGCTGACTTTAATTTGGAGTCGCTACTTTCTTCTTTATCTCTGATTTAGCGCCCCCTATTGTTCAGACTGAGATACCACATAAGTAAAATCCCTTGGATTACGTGCTACTTTTAAGTAAAATGGTGGCATGATAAAGTATCAGGACTTGTGACCATACTCTGTCCCAAAAAAAAAAAAAAAAGTGGTATTTATGCATCCTTACTTCATCTCAACATTTCATCCTGTCACCAGTGTCTGCTAGAGCCCGAAGGCTCTGTGTGTTTGCTCGCAGACTGCTACTCTGATATTTATCCCGCGCAAAGGGGAACCAAAAAAAAAAGAAAAAAAAGTCAGACTCCTTTCACATAGCCTGAGGAGGATGTCTTCTGCTCAAAAGTCTGTTTCTGTTTGGTCATGCTGAATATGATTGAACTACAGGAAAAGATTCAATTACTTTCGCTAAGGAGGTTTTGTTTTCATCGGCGTAGGTTTGTCCTTTTGCTTGTTTGTAACGACTTTTGGATACATCCGCCTCGACATTATGCGGGCTCGACATGCTCCAAGGTTTTTCCCGTCGACTGTTACCGAGAATCCATACACTGGCGATAGAATAGTAATGATAATACAAAAACAATGGTATTTTTCAGTGGCAAAAGCTTGGCCGGCAAGCTCCAAAGGTGTCCCAAGTTGCTTATCGATTGCGCGGGTGATAAATATTTGAAACCATATGGAAGCGCTCTGCTGTTTGATGATTCTCATTTGAGTCTCATGCTTTTATAGTTACTCGATTCGATATTTCCCACCTACGTTTCACAGGAGATCACCGGCCTTCTGCCTTTCTCCAAGATCTCTCTGGACGACTTTTCGGACAATAAAGAGATAAGTAACGACCTCAACGCGTACATCCAGTACCGCGTCAGTGGCAGCAAGGACATCATGAACAACATCAGCCTGAACGGCAAAGCCGACCCGGTCGCGGTGGCGAAGCTAAGCAGCCACCTCATCTCCCGCAGCCAGGGCTCCTACCTGTATCTCAAACTCACCCTGGATCTGTTCGAGAGGGGCCACCTGGTCATCAAGAGCTCCAGCTACAAGGTGGTGCCCGTCTCGCTGGCCGAGCTCTACCAGCTGCAGTGCAACATGAAGTTCATGACCAATTCGGCCTTTGAGCGCTCGCTGCCCATCCTCAACCTGGCGCTGGCCTCGCTGCACCCAATGACCGACGAGCAGCTGTTCCACGCCATCAACGCCGGCGACGTCCAAGGGGAGCTGCCCTGGGAGGACTTCCAGCAACGTATGGACTTACTGTCGGGTTTCCTCATCAGACGCCGCGACAAGACGCGCATGTTTTGCCACCCGTCCTTCAGGGAGTGGCTCGTGTGGCGGGCCGACGGCGAGAGCACCGACTTCCTCTGTGACCCGAGGTTAGTCCTCTGCTTTCCGATACGATGCTGCCAACCAAGAATTGCTTTTTGTGAATTTGTAACGAGTTTTCGTAAGTGGTCGACAGTCAGCGACTCGTTTGACTGTGAATTGAATCAGATATTGACGATGTTATAAAATAGCCGCAGCAACTAGAGAAATCTGCCGTTTCCTCGACAATCACGACATGTTTTTGTGGTTCAATAGAAATGGTATAGATAATAAAGTCCTGTGCCTGTGGCACATCAGAACGTTGTTTCCCAATAAGAACACCAGGAGTTGCAATTGTTTCCGTTGCAGTAAGTTGGTATGTGTGCAAGGGTCACTTGCCAGGCTTGCGGGTGAGCGTTTGCGGACTGTAATTAGTTTGCAAAACGCAATCACGCTGATCTCAGAACAACTTTCCCCATTGAAATGGATCAAAATTGACGTCATTGTCAACTAACGTTGGTTGCAGGTTACGAAGTTTTTACTGCCACCATCCAGCAATGAAGTCTCTGACTCTGGAGCTACAGAAGTCCAGTTTTTATTCGCGACACAGACCAAAGTCTTTTGCAAAGCAAGCGCCGTCTGCGGTGGCCGCATTGCTCAAAAAAAAAAAAGGCCATTCCAAGAGAAAATACAACAAAGAGATTGATAACACCACAGAAACCGTAAAATGAAAATCTTGACAGCAGTGATAAGATAATAACAGCTGGACTCGACCCTAAACAAAAGATTAAAAAAGGCTTTTTGTAAAAAGTGAAAACAACAAGATTATATCCGTTCTGTTTGCTTTTTTCCCCTCCTGGGGTCTTCCGTATTATCCGTGCTCACAAAGAGCAGATTCCTAAGTCCACCAGAGCAGCCTTTCATAATTCTAATCATTCATCAAAACAAAGGCTGGAGAGTTGGCAGACGCGATGAATATGCAGATAAAAGCTGGTATGCTGCGGATGTGTCGCCGACCACAGAGAATTTGGACCCAATCAACGTGATCTCCAATCACGCGTGTCCTTTTAATGACACTCCCAAAACGAAACGCGAGGCCTTCCGTCTCTTAATGATACGGCACACACCTTATGAAGTGCTACAGTGAATGCCGTGGCCAATTTATTCCTTAACTAACCCGCCTCTCTTTCCTACAATTGATCCCACGCTGTGTTGCAGCGATACCCAACGAGGGCGCCGTAGCACACGAGAGCTTTGTCCGAAAGTATTATTTCATAACGACAAATAACATTTTGTTCATCTATCTTATCCGGTGACGTATAGTGACAGGCAATAGAATTGCACTCGTTGCTGGTGTACTGTGTACTGTTTCCGAACGGCCTCAATAGAAGTTGGGAAACACTCCCCTATTGTGTCGCGCAGGACTGGTCACGCTCTCATCGCATTCATGCTGTCCCGTCAAGAAGGGAAACTCAATCGGCAACAGACCATGGAATTGGGACACCACATTCTTAAGGCGCACATCTTCAAGGTAAGAAAGATCCACGGACATTGAGTCTTTTTGTTTTTTGCTTTTTTCAGACAATTATTGCTGACCGTTCCTGTGTTTTTGTCAAAGAATGGAAAGAAGAACAGAGATGTCGTGTTCAGCGTCGGTTCAGTACTCGACGAGTGGGTTTGTGTGCATTCACGGTGTCGTTTGCCCGTCCCTGTGTGGCAGGGCCTGAGTAAGAGAACGGGCGTGTCATCCAGCGTGCTGCAGGCTTTGTGGATCAGCTGCAGCGCCGACGGCCTCTCCGCAGCGTTGGCCTCTCTGAGGAACCTCTACACTCCCAATGTGAAGGTGAGACCGCGTGTCAGAGGTGGCAGAAGTACTCGCGCACTCTGGACTAAACTAGAAGCGCAGACTCTTGTGTGAAACAAGAATCTGGTAAAAGTTGATGAAACAGAGCACTCTGGTATTATTCATGATTTTGCGTTTTGGCCTTTTTTTTTGTTGGACACTCTCTTCTGGTATTCACTGATTTTTATTTATTTTTTTTAATTTATTATTATTTTTTTTATCATCCATATTTGAGAAGTCCTGTTTTGTTTCCAGCCCTTGAATGCACCTGAAAATAAAAGTCTACAGAAAAACAATTAAATCCATCCATCCATCCGGAAAAATCTACTTCAGTACAGAAACGACTTCATTCCTTCCCTTACGAAACAATCAATGGTGAGATGGCTTTACTAACGTTAACTGCGTCGATGAAGGGGTGGAAACTAAGTATGACCATTTTAAAGCGGGCTGTAAAACCATTCGCCGTTAGCGCCCCGCCACGTCGTCGCAAAGGTCAAATGCGCTCTCCCACACCGTCAGCGCCGTGGAGGTGGACGCGGGACCCCGGTGACTCCGTTTGGCCTCAGAGCCAAAATGCCATCTGCTGTATTAGTTACACCGTAAAATAAGTCCCATTAGTTGTAAACTTCAGTTGTGGAGCATGTTAAGGTAATAGACCTGCAGACCCTTGTCGCTTGACCACTCTCTGTTTTCTACTCTGTCGATAAATTGTGTGGCCCGAATGGCAAAAAAAAAAAAAAAAGTGTTAGAAGACACAATTTAATTTAATATTGGATGCCGGCCACCCACTCGATTCAAGTGTAAATCCATTTGCATCTTTGGACCAGTCTTGACTCTCTTATGTGCTTTGTTTACTGGTAACGAGTAATACCAAAGAGTTTGTATCACCTCTAACAATAACGTTTGGAATCAATTCAGATGCCGCGCCTGCTCTCTTTTGTTTGTACTGAGGAGAGGCATTAGTCTCTGATTGATGCTTTCTGGCTGGCGGCTGAATCAGTTGTCTTTTTCCCCGCTTGTCAGCCGTGTTAGCGCTCCACTTGTTGTCATCGCCAATACACATTTGTGAGTTATTATGCGCGAGTGCGGCGACACTCGCAGCGGAACGTTTACAAGCGTGACCTTGTTCTGTCCTCCGTCGCAGTAAATCTATTCACAACCGACAAATTAACGCTTTTTCATATTCCGTCCTCGGAATACTCGTTGGGCCCCCGTGCCTTTGTCGTACTCTACATGTATTATTGATTTTCCTCATCCTGCAGAGGAGAAAAATCTGTCTTGATATTTGCTTCAGCGGAATGTCCGCCCTTTACTGTGAGAACGCGCTGGAGTTCAAGCTCAGGTAGCGTTTCAAAAAGATTTTGACTTGAATAGAAACATACCAGGTACAAACTCCACTCCTTGATCAAATACTTTGAAAAGACACGTTTGAAGCTGCTGTTTGTTGTCATGGTGACGGACGGTGTTGATTGAAAAACATGTCGAGATCAGGTCTTGGCATATATCATTGATCGTCTCCTTTTTCGATCGCGTTTGTCTTCATTAGGGTCGCAGGTGAGCCGCAGCCTGTCCCAGCTGATGCTAGACAAGAGTGTATACACTCGCAATCACAACCAAAGGGCGGTTTACAGGTGTCAAAGTCAAGGCCTGGGGGCCAGAGCCGGCCTGCCGCATTATTTTATGTGGCCCACTAAAGCAAACCATGTGCAGCTGTGTTGCTTCTTGCTAAATTTTGTTTCAAAATTGCAAATTGACTTCGGTTAAGATATTACAACCATTTTGTGACTAAACCCACTTTTTTTTTTTTTTTTTTTTTTTATAAATGGGGAAAATATTTCAATAAACAATTTCCCTTGACTCCTGATTTCAAAAGTATCAAAGCAATCATAGACAGCAGTCCAGCGCATAATGGGTTGGTATGCTCTGTTATTTGCAGAAAATCATGTCATCATATGCAGAAGGGGAACAAAAGCGTTTTTGTTTTGGGGTTGTTTTTTTTTTTTCATTTTTGTGGGACAATCCAATATGTATGATGTTCATCGTATTGTAGTTTGTCTTTAATTGACACAGCAGGAGGCAAAGGCTTGCTCCCAATCCACTGCCCGACTCGCGAATCCAATCACAAATCAAACAGCAGTGTCTGACGTTTGTTGTTTTACACCAGAAAAGTCATTGCTGCCAAGGAAGCATGTTGGGTAGAAGTGAACTTTAACCAGGGTTGTTAGCGGAAGTTATTGAGTCTTTGTCGCATGTGTATCTTTTTGCGATCAAACATCTGCAAGCTATTTTCTTATCATTCTAAACTTTAGAATGATATGATTTTGGATTCATAGTTTGTGGTTGTATTCAGCATTTAAACGACCAATATAAGCAATCACAAACATTTTGTGTTCGCAACAGGGCTCGGTTTTACTCCACTTCATCGATAATGTATATGCTAGCCTTATGACACTTTCAGTTGCTGATTGTCTGCGTTGCGCGTCAGGTGAGCCGTCTGCTCATGCTGGGAGGAGCCAACGTCAATTACCGCACGGAAGTGCTGAACAACGCGCCCGTCATCTGCGTCCAGTGCCACCTCGGCCATCTGGAAATCGCCTCCTTGCTGCTGGAGTTCGGCGCCAGCGTGGAGGTGGTGTCGGAAAATGGAATGAACCCACTGTGCTACTCGGCGGCCGCGGGTCACCTAAGTCTCGTCATGATGCTCTGCAAGCGGGGCGCCAAGGTGAGCGGATGTCGGACTGGAGTCTGAGCAGTGATTTTCCAGCTGAATTTGATTACTTGTTCAGCTCTACTTTACACCCATTATACCGGCGAACGCTGTTCTGGGTTATCTTCTTTAACCAAGTGGCAACGGATATGCACTAGACTGACCCTGCGAGAAGCAATCCGGCTAACAAATATGTTTGCCAGGTCGACCATACAGATAAGAGCGGCCAGTGCGCTCTTGTGCACGCCGCTCTCCGGGGGCACCCAGATATTATCCAGTACCTGCTGGAGATGGAATGGAGCGCCGAGGGGCAGCAGCAGGATTGCACTTTGAAGAGCAGAGCCCTGCAACAGGCTTTGATAGGAGCGGCCAGCATGGGACATACACAGGTTTGTTTTGTGGCCCAAAATGTACCTGTGGTAGTTGAAGTTTGCTGTAAAATTTAGAAGAAAAAAAAAGCATTACACATCTTGGAATGAACTGAACCACATACATTAGCCGAATGCTAACACTTTATGGGAAACGCCAAAGATGGGCTAACAAGGTTAGCATCAATGAACACATGCAGACAGACGAATATCGCAAACCAAGGAGCCCCTACAACAGAAGTGAACTTCCCATTTTTACCCCACATGACCCTCTCGTCGTAAACACGCTCAACCAAAAAAAAAAAAAAAACAAACTAGCGGTTCAATCTGAGAAGATGCCATGTTGCTGTTTGGAGACCTCGAAGGCCAAAGCCTCACAGTGCGGAATTTTGTTTGTGCCACCACGCCGTTCCATGGCCCATTATTTTCACTCCAAATGAGCAGACCGTCCTGGCGGTTTATTTGATCTCTTATGCTGAAACAGTATGCCATTTATCAAAGTTTTTTCCCGGCAGGTTGTGAGCAGCTTGCTGGCAGTGAATAATGAGTACGCCGTGCAAATTGATAGCCACGACACTCTGTGGGGAGAGACAGGTATGTCGTCATCCATCTTTTTACATTACACTCTTCCTTTTATCGCAAGCCGGCGTTTTATCATTTCTGGTGCGCTCTTGCCAGCGGAAGGTCTCGAAACCAAATGTGTCCGTGTGTGTGTGTGTGTGTGTGTGTGTGTGTGTGTGTGTGTGTGTGTGTGTGTGTGCGCGCGTGCGTTTTTATGGCCCCGCCGCGTTCTTGTGTCGTGTTCTTTCTGGTAAAAGCATTTGCTGTTGTGGTCATGTGGGTTTCTACTTCAAGGTTGGTAAACACAGCATTTCCTCTGAGGAATGGTTCTCCGGTCCGCCACTGGATGACTGCTGCGCTGTCTCCTCTCGGCGCTATTTATTTGGAGGCCAACAACACTTTAGACATTTGCAGGCACTCCTCCGTCTGGTCCACAAAGATACTTAGATTTAGGTGGCTCGGTGGGTGAGGGGGGGGTTTGTCGGATGACATACTGGTGGTAAGATAAGACATCTTAATCATGAGTTGTCTGAAAATGTTCCACTTTTGCTTTATTTACACGGGTTTGGCAGATTGCGCAATGTGTTGGAATGGAATTTTAGACCCAGATTTATGACAGCTGGCTTTGATTCAAGAGATTCTACAAATTGCCCGATGAAAATTACAGAAACGTTTTTGGTAATTGCCATTGCTGTTCATTTTTACAGTAACTCCAATCATCGGTCAAAAGGGGACCGACCGGGGTTTATTTGAAATCAAATTTTTGTTTGTGTCTTTGTTTATTTCACAAAACATCTGAAAAAAATTGGGTGTTTTTCCAGGCAGAAAACTTCCAAAACTGGGTCTTAAGAATAGTCACATTCAGTTAAAAGAAAATCGTCTTTCGTCTCCTAATAGGCAAAAATGTACACAATCATCAGCAATCCTAATCTGCTTCAAATTGGATCGCCTCATTTGATTAGAGTAAAAGGTTGCTCCTTTTATGGAGGCCAATCGTAATGTCACACCAACATTTTTTTTTCATTTAGATCCCATCCCAACTGCTCGTTTGGCAGCAATTCAAAGTTTAAGATGGAAAATCCCATTCAAATGCTGACATCTCCGTGAAAACCAGGCTCGACTTTTATTGTAACAGTATATTTTGTTCCCTTGGATACGGAAGCAATTTGGACCAATAAATGTTGCCACAGATTAGAACAACACACAAAGCCGCTCCTATTTAAAAAATATATATATAATAAATAAAGACACAGTAGGTTGCTTAACAACCTGATAAGTGCATCTATACAATAAGATATTTTTAGAATGGAGGGCTGAGTGCTTTTCTTGCAGATTTAATACCTTGATAATGCAGCGTATTGGTCTGCGTGTCCTCATTTTCAGTGTACACAAAGGAAGCGCTCATCAAGATACACAGCAAGAAAAACAAAACCTAGAAAAGTAGAACTGTGTGCTCTTCAGTCAATGTATTCCTTTTTTGTGAAAGTTCAAAACGCGGGTCATCCTGGCCGGCGTATCTATCCTTACCGCCGTTGACGCAATCCATTTCCCCTTCTAAATGGCCACAGGACGTCAGACCGTATTACTGTGCCGGGACAGAGGAATCCCAAATATTCCTCCTTGGCGGAGCCACAGTCTCGCACTTGCGTCTGCGCTCTTTTCGCTCAGCGGATGTGAAATCGCATCCGTCGCACCCACGTGAAATTGCGCGTCTGCGGCAGCGCCGAGCTGAGGCAAAGTGACTCTCACGTCCTTGTGATGACCACAATCTCTGATATCCCCCGTTGCCACCAGGACCTTATTTGGAAACCACCGGGAGCCCATCGTTATTCGTGGAAAATGGGCTGCCGCTGTGTCGTAGCCTAGCGGGGACTGAAACTACATATTGCCGCCAGTATTACGGGTCGAAGGTCAGATGAAATGACCCTGTCGTTACACTTGTGTTGCTCACGTAAGGGAAGATTACAACTCGGATAGACATAAAAGTGGATATACATTTTTGGAGGTCTGTGAATGGTTAAATGTATTTTAATTCAGATTCGGGCAGATAGTGGGGCTGAAGCGATGAATCGAATAACTCGAATAATCGGATTACAAGAAAAAGTTGACACTCCCGCCCCCAAAATGGCCGCCCCCCACCCCCCCGAGATGAATACGAACGGGTGGATTTCGCTGCGTCACTCGTATTCCACAAACGCAATATGAATCAGAATGCCGCATTCAGACTTGTGAAGGTGCATTGAACATATTCTTGTCATGAAAATATTTGGGTTGACTTCCCATTTAAGTTCACGTGTCTGCGTAATCTCTTGACATTCAATTCCGTTGCGGTAGATAATTACATTGTGTATTTCTTCATTTAGCGACATGATGGGAACGTCATCGTAAAAATACGATTCACCTCCACATTACCGCAAACCCAAACCGCGATACTAAACGCACTGTTACATTTGAGCTTCTCTGTTTCTGAACATTGTCGCCAAGGGGGAATAGGGCTCATATTGGATGCCATTCCAGGCGGTACCTTTACGGGTGCGTATCACCTATTTAAAACAAAACGCTCTTTTCATCTCCATGCAAATCGGCCCGCCGTGTCTCCTACTGTTGAGCGGAGCATGATTGGATTGCACATCTGCGCCCGCTTCCTCTCCGGATGCTTCGCCGTGATGCAAAGAGAGATGATTTGCTTCGCGGGGATCGACTCCCTTCAGCGCACCGCATAGAATCGGTTCAAAGAAAGCGGCGGCGAATATTTTGTACGTTGCCTTTATTTTGTCGCATGGTGCCAGAGGATCAGGGGACTTTGTGTGTTTTGCATGAAAGACGCTTGTGTAATTCATTCCGGGGATGAAATCTTTTGTTCGGAACCTTGAGAAAAATCACAGCGATTCGAGCACTTGTCACCGCTCGGAAGCCTTTGCCGGAACAGAGTGTTTGCATGATTGAGATTGTCATTTAATCTTGCCGGTTATTTACCTGTGATGAGTTCAGGCTCTGGCTGCGCAATTTGATGGTAATGGGATTCTGGCTGGAGCAAGCAATCACAGCCGCGTTCTTAGCTAGTGATTCAGAACCTCCTGGCCAAGAAGGTGGGCTTCATCGGTGGGTCACTAGGATGAGGGTGGGGGGGGGGGGGACCAAAACATTTTTCAGTTTTGATCGACACTGTACGAGAGGTGTTCATTTGACTGTTTTGACATTTTGGGCGCAGTCGTGTCGGAACTGATAGCTGATCCAAGGATTGTGATACCTTGTGATACCGATACCGATATTTGGCAGAGTAAAAATGCAATAAGCAATTAATCAACTGATTAATTTTAAAAATTGACAGGCTAATGAATACCATTTATGTCAGTCTTCTAATGCAAAACGGTGATATTTGAACACAAACAATGCAGCAACACATCGAGAGAGAAAATAGAAAAATACACACAGGGCATATATTCTTTATCCTCAGTGGAAAACAACCGCTATCAACGGAATTTAGTTGGGACGGTCGTCTTCTGCGCATCAAATCTACGCGTCGTCTGACCTTGTTTTACGCTGCCCTCTGAGGGCCAAGGCACATACACCAAATACTCAATACCCATTGACTGAATGCATGAAACCTTAAACATGATTCACAAACTGTTAAAATCTTTACATAGTATCTCATTTTATTACTTTTTTTTTTTTTTGGTGCAACTTTTGTATATTACAGAATATATTTGGTTCCAAGATCTTCTCCACTGTGCAATTACCACATTTTTGTTGTCCCGTGTACAGACAGCGACCAGCTTTTTGTGTGTGTGTGTGTGTGTGTGTGTGTGCGTGCGTGCGTGCGTGCGTGCGTGCGTGCGTGCGTGCGTGCGTGCGTGCGTGCGTGCGTGCGTGCGTGCGTGCGTGCGTGCGTGCGTGCGTGCGTGCGTGCGTGCGTGCGTGCGTGCGTGCGTGCGTGCGTGCGTGCGTGCGTGCGTGCGTGCGTGTGTGTGTGTGCGTGTGTGTGCGTGTGCGCGTGTGTGTGTGTGTGTGTGTGTCTTATCCTTACCCATTTGGTCCTTTCATCTTCTCAAATTACGGCCATATGGGACAACCGCTGTTTAAAATAGCCTCCATTACACCGAAACAAAGCAGGGAGTAACTTTTGAACGATATGAAAGCAGGACACGTTCAACCTCAGTTAAACACCTTTCGCAAGCGCGCCTTTGAACTCAAAAATAAGGGCTCGCAAAGTAAAGCGCGCCGTGTCCTCTGTCTGCCCCTCAGCGTTGACGGCAGCCGCCGGCCGAGGCAAGATGGAGGTGTGCGGCTTTCTGCTCGAGCAGGGGGTGACGGTGCAGCAGGTCAACCGGCGGGGGGTGTCTCCGCTATTCTGCGCCGTCAGACAGGGGCACTGGCAGGTGAGGCCAACGTCGCCTCCGTATCCACGGCAACCATTGATTCGCGCTTCTGTCGCTCCACTTGACGCTCTTGAACGCTCGCTGCGTCTAATAAGCTTGTTCACAGCATTCGCTCACAAGATCGAGTTAGCATGTAGGCTACTGCGAACCAGCGCTAGTGTCATTGTGAACCTCAGCTGGACTGACGCCGCGTGGTTCGAGTGACACAATTCGAATGAGCTAATGGCAGCGTTAACTTATTGATCTACTTCAATTCCAGTTCATTCCTAGTATTCCAGTGTAAAGGTGTTTTTGTTCCGCCGCTGTCAACGCAGCCAAATCCGACATGTGTCACTTTGACCCGCGGTGCAACTCCCGCCGTGACGTGTTCATCTGACGTGCTCTCTCCTAGATTGCGGAGCTGCTGCTGCAGCACGGCGCCGACATTAACGTCAGCGACAAGCAGGGCAGAACGTTACTGATGGTGGCGGCCTGTGAGGGTCACCTGAGCACCGTTGACTTTCTGCTCTCTAAAGGTGAGCTGCGAGGCGACACCGCCTTCATGAGTCAAAGCACACCCAAGGAAATGTGACGTGGATGGCCCCCGTCGTAGCACAATAAAGGCAGATCTGCCATGCTTTAAGAAACAATGAAATCATGATTCAAAACAAGATGGAAATCAAGACAAAGCCCAGCATGAAAGCAGGATGAATGAAAAGACTGCCAAAAGGTTTTGAAAGTACAATGGGAAAAATGTACTAAATTATCGTTCTAACCCTAAAAGCAGCAATTGTTTGAAGGCAAACATGCGGCAACACCTTTGGATGGACAACAGAATACAACTCACAGGCATCTATTCTTTATCCTCTGCGAAGAACATCCAATATTACCGCAGCTTCCTGGTTGCTTAGATGTGAAACTCCTGCTCCCGGGTGGCTCGGGCATCTAGAGCACAATGTAAAAAAATAATCATACTAACTGACGCCCAATCTGTTTTTATAAATGACAGGAGGGCGGATAATGTCAATGAGCTTTGCACACCTCCTGTTAAGACTTTCCAATCAATTCTTGGACTCACAGGAATACTCGAAGACGGGAACGTGATTGTGAGTGTCGTGTGTCTTCAAAGGTGCGTCTCTGACCTCCATGGACAAGGAGGGTCTGACGGGCCTCAGCTGGGCGTGTTTAAAAGGACATAAGAACGTCGTGCAGCTTTTGGTGGAGAAAGGCTCCGTGATTGACCACACCGATAAAAACGGACGAACTCCCCTGGACTTGGCCGCCTTTTTCGGAGATGCGGAAATCGTACGTGGCCGTACACTCCCGAACACACGTGACTGGCGTAATCGCATTGACCCGAACACTCTCGCCGTTATTGAGCACACACTGCTGCCTATTAGTTAGCCGGACGCGGTCCTTTAACTAGCGCGGCGCCTCCTTTAGGTCCAGTATTTGGTGGAAAGAGGAGCGGTGGTGGAGCATGTGGACTACAGTGGCATGCGGCCTCTGGACCGAGCCATCGGATGTCGGAACACGTCTGTGGTGGTCACGCTGCTGAAGAAAGGGGCCAAGCTGGGTAGGGTGTTTTTTTTGTGTTTTTATGTTTTTTTTTATAACTATGAATGGCCAAACCCGACTTCAAGATGTAAACGTTGACCAACCAACTAATCAGTTCAACCCGCTATGGAATTAAGAATTTAATTGACAGCTGTGGAAAAAAATCCCACAGCAAAATAGTCAGGTCATGCCAACAAACCTCCAATGAGACGCCAAGAAACATGAGTGGGAGTCATTTTCTGTCATCGTTTTTTTTTTTTTTTTTTTTGGATTGGGACGCAAAGCACATTAAGTCCTCTTATTTTTCTTTTGATGAATTGTTTAACCTTGAAGTGGTCTCGAACAGTATAATAAATTGGATACAGCCAACCACAACCAAAAAACAAACTAATTTACCATCTCAAGAAATGACTTTTTTTTTTTAAATAATTAAAACTCAATTGAATGTCGAAATTAGGTAGGGATTATGTTTTTCAAAATTGTTTTCCTCCAATGAACTCTCTTCACGTTTCACTTTTTGTCTTGAACTAGCAAAGCAACTTCTTGAGATGCACCTGCATTTGGCTTCCATATTGACTCAAGTTACCAAATATGGTTCCTGCTAAAAAAGGGATGTTTTCCTAAAAAAAAAAAAAAAAAAATTATTTATGATGGGGGAAAATAATCTGAGGAAAAAAAAATTGAAAAACAGACACACCAGTCTTGTGCATGTGTGTGAAACATTTTTGCCAAACTTGGTCCTGAGAAATGTCAATACAAGTCGTTTGCTTCGGTCTTTTGTTTGCGCAGTATCTCGAGGCTCTCAAAATAAGCTCACACTAATTTGGTGGAATGCGGCGCAAAAACATGGCATCCATTCGCTGGCAGTTGGCTCTGCGTGTCCATATATGTGTATATGTGTGTGTTGCTGTGTACATATGTGTCCTTTCTTTGCTCCCTGATGTGCTGCCGGGCTAAGTTTAGAATGCGTCTTATCACCGTAACGACCCATGTGACGTTATCTGGCGCTGCGACTTATCTGCACGGCGCTCCGCCATTGGCAAACTTTTGAACTTTCTCTCAGCATGTTTGCATGGCGCGAAAGTCTTCAAAGCAGTGGTTCTCAAACCTCTGACATCAAGAACCACCTCAAAGTAGATTTGGTTCCGAAAAAGTGTGTTTGATGTTGTTGTAAGCCGCGCAGTAGCGTGATGTAACTGTACTCAAACATTGATTGATTCATTCAGAATCGGTTCCAGTGGTTGAAATGCAAATGTATTGGACTTGAAAGTGAAATACAACTGAACTGTAATTAAGATAAGTAGGAGTAATCCTTTCGCTGGGCCACTTTTTGACTTCAGTTGGACGGTACAAATTGTTTGTAAAATGTGGTTGCAAAATTTTTTTTCATAAGAAAATAATAATACATTCTCACCATTGGATGTATTATTTCTAATTCATTTCATTGTGATGAATGAAGATATTACAGACCATTAACCAATTATTTAATACAGTACATAATCAAATAAACAAATGTCCATTGTATTCAAAATTAATTGACCAAAACACATTGTGATTATGCTTTTGAAATAATAAATTAAGAACATCTTTTGTGGATTTTTCCCGAAAAATATTAAATTAATTTTAATTTTTTTTTTTTAATTATTAAAAAGTAACCAACTATTTAATGAAGAAATGCTTTTTAAAAATTAGGTGTAAAATTAAGTTGATCTTTTTTTCATAATGTATTTTTTTCCATGAATAAATTAATTATGTGATGTGCCATAAGAGAACGTTATGAAAGAAAAAAAAAACCCTACAAAATTAATAAAAACATTTAATTAGGCAAGTTTAAGAAAAAAAAGTCTAATTATTAATTCTGTTAAATGCAAACGCGTGGGTGGGCTGGATGAAACAACTTTGGCCACCCCTGCTCTGGTGGGACTTGTCAGACCACACTTTTGAGAATCGCTGCTTGAAAGAGAGTTTGGATATGTGCGTGACCTCTCCCTTTTCCCCTCTGCTAACTCTTTCCCAACCCGCTGCCACTAAACTAAGGTCACAGAACGTCTCCTTACGATCGATCAGGTACAATCTTTAGGTAACTTTACCTTACCGTGACAATTTGCAGTCAAAATACAGGAAGCGCCGGCGATGGCTCCGACGCGAGCGACCTAACGTCTAGTCTCGCTTCCTCCTCTTGCGCAGGCAACGCCGCTTGGGCCATGGCCACCTCCAAGCCTGACATCCTCATCATCCTGCTTCAGAAGCTCATGGAGGAGGGGAACCTGCTTTACAAGGTACACTTGGAGAACACGTTGCCTGTTTTGACCCGAGTTCTGCTTGTCACTGGAACATGAAGAACACAGGTGCCAAAAATACCCATTCGTACTTGACTAGAAATACAGGCACTACGGTACAGTACAGTCCCCAGCGCTGATTCAACGTAGTAGAAAATTGCGAATTTGAAAGAACGGACGGAGGTGTCCCGGCTATTTTTTTCAGAGGGTGCCCGATCGATGCTTTGACATTTGACGGCGTAGGAGCAGAAAGGTTAAAGCTGCCAGCCTGACGAGTCTCTTTTATGCCATTGCTGGGAAGTCTGAAGCTCAAACATCTTCACCTCAAAGCGCTAAACACAAACACGGATGCGAGTTTGTGAAGCGCTAATTTTGGCTGTCGGAAGTCATGGCCATCGTCAAAACTACAGTTTTTATAATGTAGTCACCCGTGGTACAAAATATCCATCCATCCATTTTCCAAACCGCTTTATCCTGACAAGGGTCGCGGGGGGTGCTGGAGCCTATCCCAGCTGTCTTGGGGCAGTAGGCGGAGGACACCCTGAACCGGTTTCCAGCCAATCGCAGGGCACACAGAGATGAACAAACATCCGCGCTCACACTCACACCGAGGGACAATGTAGAGTGTTCAATCAGCCTGCCATGCATGTTTTTGGAAAGTGGGTGGAAACCGGAGTACCCGGAGAAAACTTCGCACAGGAAGGCGGGATCGAACCCACGACCTCTGCACTGTGAGGTCGACGTGCTAACCACTGCACACCGGGCCACCCTGATACAATACACAAAAAAAAAAAAAAAAAAAAAAAAAAAAACACACCTTTATTTCACAACTGGGAACTCGCGTTGCAGCTAGTGCTAATATCCTAATGGTAGTCCAGAAAATAAATAAAAAGATAAACTCTTGAGTTCATCCATAAATTCTGTGCTGTATTTGGAAATAAAAACGAAATGCATACATACTGTATAACGGAAGAGTTATTTGGCCATTCTTCAATGAAGTCATATTCCTCCCATTTTAAATCAGGGTTCATCGAGTTTGCGCTTTCCTCACGTACTTTTCCTAGTCAAGAGTTTGGAAAGATCCCAGGTTTCTTGGACATGTCTTCACTCCATTTGGCTTATCGATGCGCAGCTCTGTGAGATACCAAGTGGCAATCCGGCGTGCATGTGTTTGGCCCTGAGCCTCCTTCCTGGTCTCGCTCACCATGTTTGTGCCTTAATGTGTCCTCCAGAAAGGCAAGATGAAGGAGGCGGCTCAGCGGTACCAGTACGCTTTGAGGAAGTTTCCCAGGGAGGGCTTTGGAGACGACCTGAAGGCCTTCAAAGACCTGAGGGTCTCCCTCTACCTCAACCTCTCCCGCTGCCGCAGAAAAACAAACGTAAGATGGAATTTTGATCTTCCTTAGCACTTGTGAGTGTCGCGCGTTTCTTTTTTGGAAGAAAATGGTTGAATTAACAATGAGTGGCCTCATTGTCGCAGGACTTTGGGATGGCTGAGGAGTTTGCGACAAAAGCACTGGAGCTGAAACCAAAATCCTATGAAGCTTATTATGCCCGCGCACGAGCTAAAAGGAGCAGCAGGTAAACGATTCATCATGTCGATTCTAAAATGAATCTAGCCGTCTCTTCCCGTCGGTGTAAAAAGCAGAATTGAAGAGTATTGTGATGTTCAACAATCTTCAGTAAAAACTATGCTGAGCTGAATTACTTCTTCGTAAATCGGATTTACAGTCAAACAAAATACGATGCTTCCATCTAGTGGTTGAAAGTCAAATTACACTCAAACACACAAAACGTGCCCCCCAAAAATTTGCGATTAATGGCAATTCCAACCAATGTGCCTTCCAGACAGTTTGCTGCCGCCCTGGCTGACCTGCACGACGCCGCCAAGTTGTGTCCCAACAACCGCGAGATCCGTCGCTTGCTGGCCCGGGTGGAGGACGAGTGTAAGCAGATGCAGCGGGCGCAGACCTCCAAAGGTGGTGGCCCGGAGGGAGCGGTCGGTGGCATCAGCGGCACCCCGCAGGCGGCGGGCGGCCACGATTCGGACCGGGAGCGCGATGACACCCGGGAGGAGTCATCGGAGTGGAGCCAAAGACGCGGCGGCGAGGAGGAAGAAGACGAGGAAGACGAGCGCATGCGGTGCCGGTCGCTGGGGACCAACGCCGGTCATCACCCGGGCAGGCTTCCTCCTCAGCGCTACCCTCGGGACCACCCACAAGGTTTGCTTTTGCAGCCCACCAAGCAGGCCCAAATCGTCAAGACCAGCTCTCACGGAGCCAAAGCCCAGTTCGCTCCCTCCAGCCCCTTACCGAGCCGACACATGTCCAGCGTGCTGAAGCCCGGCCCGGGGATCGACATCGGGCCGCTCGCCGCGCCCGCCGACGAGCCGCTCTACGGGAACCGCGTGACTCTGACGGTCATGACCCACGCTGGCGAGACGGCGTCCTTTTCCTCCAAAGCCGCCTCGACGCACTTGGACGCCGAGCCCGTCGGGAACATGCGCGTGTCCAGCTCCACCAGCAGCCTGGCGTCCAGCGGCAGCCAGTCGGACAGCGGCAAGATGGGCCCGGACGTCAAGTCCAAACACGGCCAGCCAGGCGGCGAGTACAAACCCAGGCCCTTCATGGGCGTCACCGACAAGACGGCGCGCTTCCTGCAGCAGAACCCGCAGCCGGCCGCCCGCGCCTGGATCAACCACTCCGTTGAGGACGACGACAACGACGGTTTCGGGAAGATGGCCACCGGCGCTTACCGCGACCAGCACAGGCCGCCGCCGCCGCCGTTACACAACGGGGGGCCGCACGCCGCGCAGTACTCTGACAAGTTCATCTGCTACAAAGATGCCAAGTCCCTGGCCAACCCGGGCCAAGCCCTGCACATCACGTCCATCAAACCAAAGCGATCGTTTATCGAGTCCAACGTGTAGTCCCGGGAGAGCCGTGCCAAATGTCCCCGCCCGTCCGCCACACCTTCTGTTACGAGATGGACGCTTTGCACTGATGGAAGGGATGAGAGTCAAGTGGACATTCCTGTGTTTCGACAAGCTTTCGCCTCTTGCTTTGTGCGCGCGACTCACAAAAAAGTTTGCGCTGTTGGACTTTAGGGTGAACTGCTTGAACGGAGAGTGTGTGGGTGGGTGGGCGCTATGGAATTTGCTTTCAAGAGTTGAAAGAAGACCAAAAGGTTGGACCAGACCCCGCCCAATCTTCCCTCACTGCTCACCATGCATACCACCACCCGCAATCTCCATTCCAGCAGTTCTTCATTCCGAGTCGGTCAAATAAAATTCGCCTGTAAAGGTCCTGATGCATTTTCACTTCATCCTGAAATTTCACCCCAAAGACCAAACATACCCGCGACTTTTTCGTGAGCGGCGTGTTGATTTTCATCCCGACCGTTGTCATCGGTATGCACGGTGTTGTTCAAATTGTGTTCAATGTTCTCCGGAGAAAAAAGAGACACGCGCGTGCATTTGTTAAATACGTTTGTACATGTTCTGAATCAGCATTAACAGAGTTTAAAGTCTTTTTCTCTACTTGCTTGTTGTTGCTGTCTAGATTAATTTATTTACCAATGGCTTCAGTGTAAGAGCAATATATTTTATATCGTTATTTTTGCACAGCTACCCAAGACATTGAAATGAAGTGCATGCTCCATTTGCGGTTTACACCATCTCTCCTTCCGTTTCCACGTGGATGTTCAATGCCATGTTTTTTCGTCAGTATTGTGGTCGCATACAGGAATGGAGTTTTGCTGCCATGGCAACCATGGGAGAGAAATAAAGACCCCCACCGAGGGATGACAAACACGGTCCACGCAGTGTGATCAAACAAATGGGGGATGTTTGTTTTGAAAATGTGCTGGCAGCACCTGCATTGTCGCACTTCAAAAGACTATTTTGTTATGTGTGTGCGAGTTATTGTTACCACTTCTAAAGGTATGTCAAATCTGCATTTTTCATGTCAATGTTTACTGTAATTACAACTACCGACTGCACCATTGTAGGACAGTGATTACGGCGGACACAAACTGTGTACGTTACGTCCGGATCGTGTCGGCTATTTTTTTTTCCTTCTCTTCATAATGGCCCTTATTTTTGCAGCAAAGACATCATTCGTGGATACCGTATAATAATTGTTTTCTTAAATATGATAAAGTGACGCTTGGCGTAGTTCGAGGTCCGTGCGGGTCTCGCGTCACGACGATTGTTGCTGGCTCCACTTCCAACGGCTGATGGCCATCTTCAGAGCTCTGTTCGGGGTGAGCAGTGTGGTCTGCAGCGGCAGATTGGTCATGGGGCTGCTTCTTTTCTTGCCTCTAATCCAGCTCTCGTTGGACTCACGCTCGTAGGAAAAGCCGTCTAAGGAGAGGAAGGTACAGTCAAGGCCGCTTGTCATTCACATCTTGGTGCAGAGGAACTATGTTGGAGTGAGTTGTGCAGCTTTATTTAGACCAATGTATTGCTTTGCCATTGTCCTGCGCAGATGAATTATGTTGAAGTAAGTCAGACTGTTTTTGTTTTTTTGAGACAAAAGTAGTGCTTTGCTGCCATCTGGCATCTTGGCGCCCAAGGAACGGTGCTGAAGGGAGCTGAGGAGCTCCATTTAGGCAGAAGTTCTGCTCTGCTAACATCTTGTGGTATCTAAGGAACAACAAAGTATGTCAAAGTGAGGTGAGGAGCTTCATTTTGAAATTGTTTTTTTTTTTTTTTTTTTTTTTTTTGTCCTTTTCTGCCATCCGGTGCATTCTTGGTTCCGAGGAGCAACTGTATGTCAAAGTGAGGGGAGGAGTTCCATTATGACAGAAGTAGGACTTTGTCACGAAGGAACTATGAAGATATGACTTGAGGAGCTTCATTTCAACAGAAGTAGTGCTTTTTCGCCAAGGAACTATATCAGTGAGTTGAGTGAATTCATTTAGATAAAAGTAGTGGTTTGCCACCATGTTGTGACATCTTTGTGCCATATGAATACAGTGGATGTGAGAAGAAGAGCTTAATATCGACAAAATTAGTGCTTTGCTGCCATCTTGTGGTAGCTTGGTGCCAAGGATTCATGTTTCAGTGAGGGGAGGAGCTTCATTAAGACAAAAGTGGAACTTTTTGTCGCTGAGGAACTATGTTGATGTGAGAATATTTCAGACAAAAGTAGTGCTTTGCCGCCATGTTCCGACATCTTGGTGCTGTACACTAATGTTGATGTGAGTGGAGAGGCTTGATTTAGACAAAAGTAGTGGTTTGCCGCAATTGGTGGATCTCAAATCCTCGTGGATTTCCGCTTTTCCCGACCAACTCAGAAGAGTTGCGAGGCAGCGCGTGAGTCACACCTCACCTGCGGCGATGACGGGATCCCTCATCGGTTCTCTGCCGATGGGACACACAAACTCATCGGGGCAGTCGCAAGCGTTGTGCTCCACCTTCAGGGTCTCCAGTCTTCTCAGGAGGCCACGGCGGACCCCCAGCGACTCTGAAAGACATCAACGCAGTACGATTGACATCAGAGGTGACAAAAGTAATCGTACTTTGTGTGGGTGTGCGCTTCTGCATTTCTTGTGAGTTTTTCTTTGTGAGTGTGTCATCGGATAATCAGAGCAGTGACGAAAGCTGCTTATGTTTATGCTTTCCAAATGCCGGCTTGTCATTTCAGGATCAAAGATTTTTCATTCCCGCCATCTCTGCGCGTCTCGGTGTGCGTGCGCTACACACGCTTACGCGCTCTCCCACTCACCGATTCCCATCTCCAAGGCCGTCGCCTCGCTCAGCTGGGCGAATTTGGCGCCGTCCAAATCGTTGCCTCGAAAGACAACGGCCAGCTCGTCGACCAATCCTTCTTCGTGTAGCCAAGCCTGGTGCACGTCCTCCTGCGACCAATCGGGGAGGAGCAGTCGCGAAGAGCGAGATGGAGGCTTCCTTCCTGAGAAGCACGCAAAATGGTTGAAATTGATATCATGTACATGGAAACACATTCTGAAAGTCCGAACACCAGAGTTATAATTGCACACACCTTGCCAGCGTTGGTTCATCGAAACACATTTTAGACTCCAGCAAACCTTTTTCATAATGTATTTTATTTATGTAAATAAAGGGATTCCACTTTTCTTAGTCAGACGTCAGAAAAATCCGATTTCCCCTTTTTCTCGAATGTAGCATTAGCAGTCCATTTTTCCGTTACGTCATCAAAGACCGCGCGCGCATCATTGTCTCAAATTGATGAGAGATGCGTGATGCCTGTCAGGATTTTTTAAATTTTTTTGCGTGGAGTTGTCATACTTTTTGAATATTCTCAAGCAATTGTAGCATGTTCGTGATGTTGTTTGTACGGAAGAGGAAACACTCCATTTTGGAACCTGTGACTGCAAGTTATTAAACCAAGCCCAGACTTGACCGTGGACATCATCAGGAATGTTTGCGATGCTTATTTCATATCTGGTAAGTTAACGTGGCCATTTGGTTTTAACTTAACCACAGTGTCTTGAACTGTTGAGTAAGTGGTCAGGAAATGTGGAATAAATGGCAAGCTGTTTACTCCGAGTGCTAGCTAGTAACTGGTCGCTAACCCATAGATGAGCTTCAGTGCACACTAACTCCATGTAACTTAAGCTCTTAATTCGTTTGCATTCTGCATATCATCGTCACCATCATGAAATCGTTTCATCATTATTAAAGAAGCACAGGAGGTGCCGACAACAAGTCGCCACCACCGGGAGCACCCAAGCTCTCCTGGCCCCAATGATGGCGTGTGGAGTCTTCGAGTCTGCAAGTCTGAGTCATGGACTCGTTGTGCCAGCAGCAAACCTCAGACTTTTTTCATTTAAAAATCACTCGAACAGATGCAGACGAAACTGACGTCACCGTGCGTGTGTGCGCTTCAAATCGCAGGACACAACATTAGGTACAGCTATTGAGTCAATTGACTAATCTTCATTTGGATTACAGGAAAAATGAAGCCTACCGCAGGTGACAGCCAATTATTTTTTTCTTGGGGGGGGGGGGATTTTTTTGTGATGCCACCACACAAGGCTAACAATCACCATTGAACCATCCCTGGAAAATCTGAAGCTAACCATTGCATTGTGGGCATGCAACATGAGCATAATAGAGTATATGCAGTTATAATAATGCGAGTGTATATTGACCCTGGCAAGCAGTCTGCTCCAGCTCAGCTCCTGCAGACAGAAAAGAAGGAGAATACATTTATCACTTAGAAATAAGAACCACATTGACACGAGCAAGTGGAATATTCTTTGAATCTGACGGCAAATGGACATTAAAGCCGCTTTAGGATTCGCAAGCGTTTTCCGTTGCGCTCGCTTGGAAAATACAACATGATCTAAAAGGTTTGCACCATAAAACATCACACGCATGCGTCACACAGCTGCAGTCTGACACACAGAATCTTAGCTGTACAACATTCAAATCACATCCACACGCCCCCCCCCTCCCTTTTTTTTATTAATTTACAACAGAAAAGCTTTGTGTCATCTATCTTGCCGGCAACCTATAGTGACAGGCACAAGGTGCAATTCACCTGTTGCCGATCATACAGAATGTAAGGTACGCATGTGCCTTGGAGGTTGGGATAATAATCATCAAATACATTTGAAAAAAATACCCCCAAATTTAAGTATAAAAAAAACAAAATAAAACCCATTCATGTCAATAATAAAATAACAAATAACACAAAATAATATGATCCATATGTACTGTTGTTGACCTGTTACGCCGTGTCTGTCTCGTTGCATCCACACGTTGACGGTTCGGTCCATGGAGCCAGTGGCCATGACGCAGGGCATGCTGGGAGACAGAGCCACTGCAGTCACGTACCTACAGGATGGACGGGTAAGTGAGTGGCACACAAAGAGATCAGCACCCCCCCGCACCCCCCCCCCCAAAAAAAAATCCACTTTCACATCTTAATCCCGAGAAGGACTTGAAAGGACTCAGCTGGCCGATACGCTTCAGCGATGGAGCACGCTGGTGCTTCGCCGCAAGAAGAAAATTAACAATCAAGTGTATTTTGATATGAAAGGTCTGTGTGTGTGCTGCAGCGGAGAGGGAAGATGGAGCTGCGGTGTTTTTTGTTTTCTACCTGTCGTGCTGTTTTAAAGTTTGCCGTAGCGTTCCTGGCCCCTGTGGGTGGATAAGAACTCGTGTCATCTTTCCAAAAAAAAGAAAAAAACAGCAAGCGTCAAGTCAACACACTTGGATGCTACTCACCACGACATAAACTGCAACACTTTTGTCCACTGAGCTGAAAGCGAACAATGATAATTAATACGCAAGAATTACGACTCAGGAGTGTGTATTGAGGAATTTTTAAAAAAAACTGACATTATGCAACGGAAAGGGAACGATGAGAATTAATACGCAAGAATTACGACTCAGGAGTGTGTATTTCTCAATTTGGGCAGGAAGAGCTGATGAAAGACAGGATGAACACAACAAAACAGCGCCCTCTTGTGGCGTAATTAGGGAATTGCCATCTGCCATCTCAGAGAAGTGTGAACGTGACCCCCAATTCGAAAGTAGGTGGGCACACTTGTGCAACCACATGATCTGAGTTCTTTATTTTTACTTCGTCTTTGTGTGTGTGTGTGTGTGTGTGTGTGTGTTTCTCACTCACCCGGAAACAACAAGTTGGCCATCAGAGGAGAAGGCACAGCACAGAACTGGAGCAGACTGACTGGAGAGTGTGTGGAGGAGCTTCACAACACATGCTGAGGGCCAGCAAAACACACACACACACACACACACACACACACACACACACACACACACACACCCCAACGGGTCCTTTTAACCTTTTTTTTTTTTTTTTTTTTTTAATGATGGAGGAGCAGGGCTCAGATTGTGCTTTGACGCATGTCCAAATAAATTGCACAAAAGCATCATATGGAAGCACAGTCCTAATTATGAAATATTCTGATCACACAGCACATTTCGATCATGTCTATGCTCAAATGGGATTGGGGTACAAAACATTTTGAAGAACAAGAGCCAACCTTTTCATTGCACAAAATTCACTTTCGATCTACTGATTCAAGAGCACAAACATGACGAGCGTTTGATTGCTGTGCAAAAAAAAAAAAAAAAAAGCAGCCGTTGGGTGAAGCCAAGCATTTAGTCATACTTTGGGTTGGCTTGAAGTCGAAAAAAAATGAGGGGGGGGATGAGTCGGAACTGTTCAGGAAGTCAGTGGAACAATGCAAAAATTGCCCTTGTTGTTGCTTTGGCCTTTTCTCCTTTGTGCGCCTCATTGGCAACCTTCGCACTTTTCGAAAGCGGTCACATAACCGATTATTCAGAAATGAAACCAACCGTGTTCTCGACAGATGGAAAAGAAAGATGATCATTTTGTCACAGCTCAAAGGACGCATAGTTTGTAACCGAAAGCTTTTTCAAGGCGGGAACAGAGGGTGTCGTATTTCAGGGGCAAGGAACCGATGTCGTAAACCCCGATGCAGTTCTCAAAACAAGTAAAAACACTGAAGCGGTTATTAAAAAAAAAAAAAAAAACAAAGCTCCACAGCATTAACACACATGGTCATAATATTTTTCCTCCCAGATCCTGTAAAGTGATTTCAGAGATTTGTTCCTGTCTGATGATAACTGCTGATAACATGTGAGAAGGCGGTCAACTACATAGTACTGAATCGCGGCGATATAGGTCGAAACTGATTTTCATGATTCAGTTTTTCTGATTTTTTTTTTTTTTTCTGGGCGTGGCAAAAGGGCACTCGGGTACACACTTGGGCTGTGTCCAAATTCACAGGCTGAGTCTTTGGAAGGCCGCGTTTTTCAGCCGCGTGACGTCAGTTCCGGCGCCGCTCGACCGTATGGGGTTTTCAAATACTAGCAAGACAATTTGCAGGTTGGATCCTTTGACACCTTCAAAGGCTCCTTGGACCGCAGAAACCGAGTCAAATTTTGGGCAGGCTGAATGTGGATTTGGACACCATGTGCGGTCGAGTCGCGCCGGAATTGATGTCCTGCCGTCCTTCGGAGGACCCAGCCTGTGAATTTGGACACAGCCTTGGTGTAGTTAGCCTGCAAGCTAGCTTGTTAGCGGCTCTGGTCGCGGTGTGGGACGCCGTATTTATTAATTCCAGCCATTCGAGGCTGGAAGCAAATCTGGTATCTTTTCACAGGTCAAACATGTATTGAGAAGACATTTGCTTGAACTTCTCAGCGACTCTCAATTTTGCTGATGAGAGGATCACGTTTTAGCTTATTCGAGGTTCTTTTCCCATCTAAATGCTAAATATTGAAAATGGTCTCACCAAAAGTTTCGATTCTAGCAAGACTAATGCCTGATGAATAATCAAACGGCCACTCCGATGTACTGTCTAATGAATGCTTGTTAGTGTAGCTACTACTGTCGTTGCAAATCTCACATTCCGAGTCAAAAACATTTGGCACTGTCCCGCGCGCGCGGCGTATTGGACGGAAGGGAACGTCCCTCTACGGCCCACCGTCTAACTCCTCAGCCTCCACCAGGCAGGAGCGGTCGCCGTCGGGCGCTCTGAACGGCGGGTGGTACTCGAACCCCGTGACGACCGAGGAGCCCGGATGCTGCCGCTGGTGCAGGAACCACAGCACGACGGAGACGGCCACGATGGCGATTATGCAGAGAATGACTAGGCCAGACAGCAGTCCGCTGGATTCTGTTGGGAGGGGGGCGTCAATCGACAACGCAGGTATGTGATCACTCAATACAAATAGTATTTAAAATGTGTGTGTGTGCAGTGGGGGGAAAAAAAGAACCATACTTTTTTTGGCTTGATCTGCTTCTGAAAAAACAAAGGCCAACCGTGAGTATCAAGATGGTTCAGGGAATTAACGGTCAAAAAAAAAGAAATGGTACAAGACGTCACTGTTCCATTTCGGAGCAAGAAATCTGAATCGAAGGGAGTTTGCGCCATGATTGATAAGCATGTACGGAATGAAGTGTGCCGAGTTTGGTTCCTTGGGGTCGAGGGTCATGATGGTATGTACAGTCATCCTCTTTAGCTTGCCACTGGACATTTTTTTTTTTTTTTGAGTCATCCTCTTGAGCTTGCCACTGGACATTTTTGTTTTGTTTTTTTGTTTTTCGTTTCCACAGGCGCAACTTGCACATAAAAGTAGAAATATTTCTAGAGAGGGGACTCATTTTCACAGGAGTGCATTCTTCACGGTGCAAAGGTGACAGCAGCATTTTATATGGAGGCGGCTGACTTTGCACCTCAAGTCTGGAATCTGAGCCAAGTGGTTGTCAGTGCGCCCTCCAGTGGACAAAGTGAGTAACAACTTTGATTGAGGAATACAGTACTGTATCAGTGAATGCGATCTTGAAGCCCCCATTTTTAACACCCCCCTGGTAAAGACAACAACCATTCTTAAATTCACACCCGTGGACAATTTAGATGAAAACTTCGCTGAAGTTAATAAACGTTTTCTGACGGCCAGAGATGAGTGTGAAAAAAAAAAAAAAAGCGCTTCAGAGATGGATCAGCGTCTCGTACGAAGGAGATGTGAAGCCGTACTCTGAGCCGTCTCGCAGACCACTCCGTTCTCCAGATCGTCCAAGCAGCTGACACGTTCCCACTTGCCCGTGTCGCTGTGCACGGCCACGCACGTTTCCATGGGCACAAAGTCCGACGGGGACGAGCCCGGTTCCCAGTTGGTAAACTTGACCGGCTCTTCGTCGAACCACATCATGCCTTCACCTGGTAAGAGTGATTTGCGTCAGCACAAATACTACTGGACTACTGCTCAAACAAATCACTGATGCGCATCTTTCACTTCCTAAATGCTGAAAAAAAAAATTTTGTGCCTCCATTATGAGAAAAAAAAGGATATCCTGAAGCTGTGTCAGGATGTACAGTGAGCTGGGTGGGGTGGGAAGTTGCTTTTTACTTGTTCTTTGACGAAAACCAAAAGTCTAAATCACAATTAGTGAGCTTATATAAAAAAAACTCAATAAACAAATGAGACCAGGAAAAACATATGAAAACTTTGAACTTCCATCCCTGTTCTGTACGAGAATAAAATTGCATTTAGGGAACAACCCAAAAAGTTGATCTTGGCAACAAGCCCGCATCTTTCCACAAGTTTGCGGTCACATGACACTTACTGTTTGTATCGTAATACATTCCGAGCCACACGTTGACTTCGCCTTTCCACACCTCGGGACTATATTTAACCACAAAGTCATTCTCCTCAGCGCTCTGGATGGACAGCAGCTCTGAAAAAAAAAAAAGACATACACTGACTAGCCACAACAGTAGGAACACCTGCAACCGACATTGATTCCCACCCCACCCCCCAAAAAAAAGCATGACAGCCGTGTCATTGTGAATACTAAATTTTGGACGTACCAGAGTGTGGGCAGAGGCTTTTGGCACTCTCAAAATTATACACTTTGAGTTTGTCTTCTTCTCCGTGGACAAAGTGGTAGCATCTGTCTTTAAAGGGCACCCAGGTGCGTCCATCGGAGGGACAGTCTGCGGAGAGAGCATGATGGGAAAACTTTCAGGCGGTGTTTTGTCAAGGTAAAAACTCAACTGTATGGCCCTTTAGGGACAAAAACCGAAAGGGCTTCCAATCGAGAAAATGCTTTCCCAGTCGCATCTATGATGCCACTTGTGACAAACGTTCACTGTTTAATACCCTTAAAGACGATAATTCCAACAACCGATTAGTTTATTTCTTGATGCGAGTAAATCTGCTTAAAATGATCCGGATTAGTTAAACCATTTAAACTTCTCTAACTGCTCCGCGGTAATCCCACTTTTGCAGTTGTCAGTTATACTCAACGTTTCGGAAATTATAATGAGAACTAAACATCCTTCGAAGGGCATTAAAACCTGATGTGCGAGCTATTTAAGTCATTTTTCGTTCGCTGGAGCTTCACAACTCGGAAGTTTCGGATGATTAAACAGGTATGATCCCGACATTAATTCCAAAATTGCAGCTATCACTCTTTGATAGGTAATACTGATTTATGACACGGTAATCTCAATAGATGAAGAAATCGCCCAACGTTAAACCAACAGTGGTAAATTTATCTCGTTAGGCCATTCAAATGCCTTGTTTTTGTCGTAACGCTTGTATGGCGACAAAAGAGAAATCTTAAAGGGATTAACGGCCAGTTAACAGGAAATTGTGCAATTTGAAACCACACAACGATGGTTCCAAAACTTGACTGCAGAGTAAACAACAGCGTCGACATTTTGGCAGACGTTTTGGAAATGCTTTAACTTTCACAACCAAAAAAAAAACAAGACAAGTTATCACGCAGAAAAAGAGGCCCATGAACTGCACGTAATCAAGACAGTGTCGAGTGTCATCATTGCGTTATAACGAAAGTACGTCGGACGAAGTTCGCCGCGGTCCTTACCTCCAGTCCAAGCCGCCTGCAGCTGCAGAAGAAGCACACACAAGCAGCACGTCAGGGACGCAGCACGACGACCATTTTTCTGCGGCAACTCCATGACAGAAAAGAGCCACAAGAAGCAGCAAAACTCCCCACTTGTTTCTTCTGCACGGAGAGATCGCCCCGCCCACCAGTTCGGACCAAACATGCCTGCGGAGGGGGAAACCAGAACGTTCAGTAGTGTGACATAACTAGTGTTAAAAAGAAAGAAAGAAAAAGACAATAAGCATCACGTTTCCCCCTCAACAAAGCGTGCATTGCATTTTGTAGCCGACTCATTTTTTTAAGCGTAGTACAAGATGATTTGAACGTGGACAAAATGTCATCCAACTTGATGTCAAATTGCCCTTTTACATTTCGTTGTGTTTTTACATTGTTTATAGATTAACACAGCCCAGAAACGCACTAGGTGCGTCTGTAAACGTTAACAAGAACCTAAAAACAACCACAACAACGGTGCAGAAATTGCAATGTCAAATGACGCGTTCAAAGCTCAAAAAGACAATACGAAAATTGGAAACAGCTTTATTATTTACTGCGGTCACGCAGTTTCTTATGAATACAGAGATTCCAGAAAAAATAATCACTCGCAATATAGTTGGAAATGTAAGTTTGAAACTGGAAAACTACAATAACTAACTACAATAATTAGAATTACGTCTTCAATTTTGCCGAATCAGAACAGGATTTTTTAAAAGCCGATGACACCAGAACGCCTCTGACCAATTCTTTTTGGAAGAGACGCCCTTGTACAATCATGGCATCTGTATTATAAGAACATGCATTTAAAAATAAAAAAAATACCAGGACACTGCCCAAGATATGTGCATGTAAAAAAATAAATATGATCATGCTGCAGGGGTTAAAAATGGTGGGCTTACCTTACCTGTTACCCGGAAGTAAAGGACGTGGACGTCATCGACCGCTGCATTTGAATGCATCATTTTTGTTTGTTCGAAATCCTACAAAAACTATTAAGGCGACGGATATCATCCATGGGCATTTCCTCGCTGGAGTTGATTGCATGGACTTCGGCCTAGAAACAAGGATGGTGCTCATAGGATTCTAACATGTGGATTTAAAGCGCCTTTATCGGTGAGTTTGTTTTGTTTGTTGAAGCTTTAAGTGGGGCTGGCCAGGGGAGGTTGTACTTGTTGTGTGGTTTCCCATTAACAGAGTTTATTTCGATAAAATAAATGTAATACTGTACAACTTTTCTATGAAAAATACTGTATTGATATTTATGATAGGATACAGGAGCTTGTTTTGAGTCCTGATTGGGTGGTCGGCTTTGTCAGAATATGAAATGACAAGGTAATGCTTCGGTGCGTTTTCACAGCCACCATTGGACCGATTTGTGGGCACAGGTGTTTATCTTGTTGATGAGACTGCAATGAATGAGACGAAAACGTGGCCTCGAGTGTTAAAATTCTCCAAAAGTGATAAACAAATTATTCATTCTATTTTTTTCAATAGTTGGTGGGTTATTTATGCCCAATACAAGACCCCCCCCCCCCAAAAAAAATAGTACAGGTTACATAAACAAATTTGAGGCGTTGTAGTTTATGCAAAACTTCAAGGGGGCGCTCGGGCACAAAAACTTGACAGCTGGGGCACGAGCTCTGGTCTTCGTCTGGGAGCCGGCGGCCTCCCGCAGGGACACTGTGAGGGCCCATCTGTCGTGGCAAAGCCTGCCCAAGAGCTGTGCTGCCACATCCGAGCGTATTGCGTCCCCCCCAACCCATTGCTTCCATCCACCTTCTGCGCTTTGCCTCCTGATGATCTTGTCAGTGATGCCATGTGACAGTGTCGATTTCTATTTACTTGGGCTTCCCCCTTTGGCTTGAAAGAACATTGCTGGGGAACCGAGCACAAGCATGTTACTGAACTATTTTTTTAGCTGCTATTTTTTATTTTATTTTTTTTTACCAGATTGTGACATGGAAAGGAAATAATTGGGTCAATATCAAATCTGTTGCTTATTTCCTCTCTCCAAATTATTTTTAGACACAACAGCGTTGTGCTAGTAAATGCACTTTATGGCAACACCTGTTTTGTTTTTTTTCTCCCTCAAGAGAGAAAGAAAGAAGGCGTCTTGTTTAGTCATGTCGATGACACACTTTTGTTTTAAACTGGGAAAACAAGTTAGTTTAACACAGGCAACCATTTCAAGAAAAAAAA